CCTGCTGGCCAGATGTCATCATTTGTCACTTTCCCCACATAAGCAAAGGTTCCTGAGGGCCATGAGCCACCTCCATGCCCCCACCTCTCTCCCCGAGGCCAAGCTCAGGAACTCTGGCCACAGGCTACAGGACTGGACACTGCCTTGGCAGGTCACAGAACTTGGTGGCAAGCCCCTGGGTGCTCCAGGAACAGAGCGAGAGAGTGCTCTGGGGCCACGAACCCCGCGGGAGCCCCACACGCACCCCAACGCTCACCGTCGATGGACTCGAGCTTGGCGGGGCTGGCGTAGGCCTTGAGGCGGAAGTCCTGCACCCAGCGGGCGTTGCTCTCATTCACGTCAACAAAGTCCATGGTCTTCCCCTGCGGAGCCCAGAGGCCAAGGGTCAGCACCAGACACCGCACGCTGGTGAGCACAGACCCGAGCAAATGCCGACTAGTCCCTCAGGACAGCCCTGCCCCTCACCAGGCCTCACCGCCCCCACCACCTGCCCCTGGTTCTCCGTCTCCCGCCTATGAAGCAGCAGCAAGTGTCCCATCCACCTCAGAGGTGACACTGGAAGCATCCAGGGTCACCACTATGACCAAGCCCCACACCATCGAGGGTCAAGAAGTCCTCCTGATGGACTGTCTGTGCTACCCTCACTCACGAGTGGAGAGATGCCGAACACACACTATCAAAGATCTCAGAGCCCAGAAAGTGAGGACCAGAACTTGACGGTACCCCTCAGCCCAAGCTGGCTCCTTCCTTGGGTGGTCACAGTGTTTGGTGGCAAGCCCTCAAGGGCTCACACCAGCCTTGGGCTCCCTGCTCCTCCCAGGGAGTGACAGCACTCTCCTGGCCAAGTCCCCAGAGAGGGAGGGACCCTGCTCGACCACTCTAAGAGGGTGGCTGGACTTACCCCAGGGGTGGCCACCTGCAGGTTGAAGGCACCGCTGGCCAGAGTGAAGCAGTGGAGGAAGGACTGGGCCGACACACCTGCAAGGAGAGCGCATCCCCGGTGGGTGCAGGGCGCCACAGCCCCACTCCCGGCCCAGACGGCCCTGAGGAGCAGCCTCTTACCCCACCTCACCCAGGGTCTCCTCTCACATCCCTGGGGTTAGCAACCCTAGCCCACTGGCCCGTCATCCCCTGAGGCGGGCTCTCCCCCCAGCCCGAAGGCAAACCCAAATGTGAGGTTCTCTAACACTCAATTCATCCACTCACTGAACCACCAGGGACTGAGCCCCCACCCCCCACACACATGAGTGGAGCCACCGAGGTGGGGCTACAGCCAGGGTCAGCAGGAAGGTGGGTGTAGCCGGACTCCTCCGCACAGGCCAGCACCTGGCCCTACCCTTGCCAGCGGACACTCCGCTCCTGGATCCTGCCCATCTCCCCATCCCCAGCGCTGTATCCAGTCCTCTTCTGCCCATGCCCAGTCCACAGGGCTCCTGGGAGCTGAGGCCCCACCAGAGACGCCTACTTCTAAAGGGACTTGATCTGCGTTCTTCTACAGTTATTTTAACCGAGAGACCCGGTCCCTAAGCCTCGCTTTCATCTTTATTCACAATTACCAACTAATACACATTCATCATAAAGAGTCATATGTTGCACAGTCTCCCCATTTCTGCCCTCCCCGCCCCCGAACCCTCTCACCAGCACCCGCTTCACCCCAGGGTCCCCTGAAGGGTCTCTGGAGGGCCCACTCGTCCAGCCCACAGAGCTTAGTGGCCTTTTCAGAGCTGTGCCCCGACCGGATGTCCTCAGCATCCCTTCCCCACGGCACAGCCAGGCCAATGCTACCTCTCCTCGCCCTTTACCCTGCTCCAAAACCCCCAGCCTACCTCTTTAGAACTGAACCCCACTCTCAGAGGCTCACTCTCGAACTCTCCACGCAGGGAGTGGGCGTTCCTCAGGTCCTCCATCCCTCATTCTGGGCCCACCGCTCGGGGCCCTGGGGCTCAGCACACTGACCCCATGACCCGCAGTCCCCTCTGCCTCGCCCACTTGGGCAGCTACAGAAGTCAAGAGGGAGACAGGCCCCAGAGGCGGACCCTAGGTCCCAGCCCTGTCTCTCCACCTCCCCGCGGTTCGACCGCGGGCTCATCACTTCCCTCGGAGCCAGAGGAGGCACAGAGAGGCTCCGGTAAGCGCTCGTGACAGTACCAGGCGCCCTCATCTGTTCACCCTTCCGGGCTGGCCCTGAGCACCCCGAGGACCCGACCGAGAAACAGTGCGAGCGACGCGGGCCCCCGAGCTCTCCCGGCGCCTCTGCCACGGCAGGGCGAGGGCTGCTCTACCCTCGCCGTCTCCCGGCCCGCCGGACAGTCCCTTCTCCAGCCCTCCTCGCCGGGCCGCGCGCCAGGCCGGCCCCGCCTGCCCAGAACACCCGCCGCCCGGCGCACCGC